ATGATGTAATGTATGGTGGTTAACATAACAATAAAAAATTATTTAAAAAAAAAAAGGAACCATTTTGAAACAGGCACACACATTCTGTTCTTCACAAGGCCTTCCCTCATGAGAAACTAATTAACCAGAGCCTAACCTGGTGGGGTTTTTTCAGGACCTGACTGACCTGTGGGGTGGGAAATACCTAATTCTAGCCAGCTGTAGATTTCTATCTGGAGGGAGGCAGATCTCCAACTCCAGTTCACACTAGACATACCGACAAGCACTGTTCACACTCCAGAAGCACAGGCTCACTAAAAACCTGAGACCTACTCATAGGACCACAGGGCTTCTTCATTCCCCTCACACCTCACCAACACATTAATAAAGACCTATTGAGAGCATTTCCATCTACCCAGTACATCATGTCTGACTCTAAAGAAAAAATTAGAAGGCATACTAAAAGGCAAAAAATATAGTTTTAAGAGACAGAGCAAGCGTCAGAACCACATTCAATACAATAAAGTTGTTGAAAATGTCAGACCAGGAATTTAAAATAACTATGATTAAAATACTCATGGCTCTGGGGCTCCTGGGTGGCTCAGTTGTTAAGCATCTGCCTTCGACTCATGTCATGATCCAGGGTCCTGGGATTGAGCCCTGCATTGGGCTCCCTGCTCCGCAGGAAAACTGTTTCTCCCTCTCCCACTCCCCCTGCTTGTATTCCCTCTCTCGCTGTCTCTCTCTGTGTCAAATAAATAAATAAAATCTTAAAAAAAAAATACTCATGGCTCTAATGGATAAAGTAGACAGCATGCGAGAACACACAGGCAGTGTGAGCAGAGAGAAATTCTAAGAAAGGACAAAAAAATGCTAGAGATCTAACACATTGTAACAGAAACGAAGAATGCCATTGATGGGCTTATTAGTGGACAGGAAAAAATCTCTGCTTGAGGTTATCTCAATAGAAACCTCCAAAACTGAAAACAAAGAGAAAAAATATGGATAAAAAGAAACAGAATAGAATACTCAAGACCTGGAATACCAGAAGGAGAAGAGAAAAAAGAACCAAACAAATATTTGAAACGATAATTACTGAGAATTTTCCATACAATATTTTAGGTCAATTATAATTGATAATATTTGGATGGACCCTGAGGACATTGTGGTCAAGTGAAACAAGTCAGAGAGAGACAAATACAGTGTGATACACTTATGTGTGAAATCTGAAAAAGCCAAATTTGCAGAGACAGAGAGTAGAATGGTAGTTAACAGGGGCTGGGAGTGGAGGGGAGTAGGGAGATGTTGGTCAAAAAGTACAAACTTCCAGTAAGAAGATAAGTTCATAGGATATAATGTATAGCATTGTGATTATAGCTAATAATACTGTGTTATATAGTTGAAAGTTGCTAACAGAGTAAACCTTAAATATTCTTACCACAGTGAAGAAATAATTATGTGACATGCTGGAGGTGTTAGCTAATGCTATGGTGGTAATCATACTGTAATATATAAAAATATCAAATCAACGTGTTGTATACCTTAAACTTAAACAATGTTATATATCAATTACATCTCATAAAGCTAGGGATAAAAAGAATAGAAATAGAAGAGGAGGAAGACCTCTCGACTCATTTAATGAGGCCCATATTAACCTGATACCAAAACAAGGCAGACACATTATAAGGGAAAAACCTAGGGGTGTGAAATCTTTAATGAAATATTAGCAAGTTGGATCCAAATATATATAAAAGGATAATATACCATGACCAAATAGGGATAATCCAAGGAATGCATAAGTGATTTAACATTCAAAATAAATGATATGATTATCCCAATAAATTTAGGAGATGCATTTCAGAAAAATCAATATATATTCATAATTTAGAAGAAAAATAAAACTTCCTGGGGCGCCTGGGTGGCTCAGTCATTAAGCGTCTGCCTTCGGCTCAGGTCATGATCCCAGGGTCCTGGGATCAAGTCCCACATCAGGCTCCCTGCTCCGTGGGAAGCCTGCTTCTCCCTCTCCCATTCCCCCTGCTTGTGTTCCCTCTCTTGCTGTGTCTCTCTCTGTCAAATAATAAAATCCTAAAAAAAAAAAATTATTAAAAAAATTATAAAAAAAAAGAAAAAGAAAACTTCCTAGCAAACTGGGAATAAAGGGAACTTCCTCAACTAAGTTCTTACTTAATGGGGAAAGTTTTTATGTTTCCCCCTAAGATAAAGAGCAAGGCAAGGAATACACTCTAATGATTCCTATTCAACATTATACGAAATTTTGGCCCTAACCAATGTAAGGGAAAAAAAAAAAAAACCCATACAAATTAAAAAAAAAGAAAGCTGTTTTTATTTATAGATGAAATAATTACATGTGTAGAAAATTCTAAGGAATCTACAAAAAAGCTATTGGAATTAATAAGTTGGTTTACCAACATTGCAGGATACAAAGTCAAAAAACAAAAGCCCATTCATTTCTATGTACTAATAATGAACATTTGGAAACTGAAAATTTAAAAATTACATTTACAATAGCATAAAAATATTAAATTCTTAGGGATAAATGTAACCAAATATGCCAAACACTTATACACTGAAAACTACAAAACATTGCTAAGAAAAATTAAAGAAGATCTAAATAGGTGGAGAAAAATACGTGTTTATGAATCAGAAGACTCAATGTTGTGAAGATACCAATTATTTACAAAATAGTCAGTGCAACACCAAACAAAATCCTAACAATCTTTTTTATGGGAAGGTAACAAACTGATTCTAAAATGCATAAAGAAATGTAAAGGGCCTAAAATAGCCAAAACAAGTTTGATAAAGAACAAATTATACAACGTGCTTTCAAAACTTATTATAAAGCTACAGTAATCAAGACGGTGTGGTATTGGTATAAAATAGATATACAGATTCAATGAAACAGAATTAAGAATCCAGAAAAAGTCCCGATAGATAAATAGATAGATAGATAGATAGATAGATAGATAGATAGATAGATAGATAGATAGATATAGATGATAGATAGAGATAGATAATATAAATAGATAAGATATAGCCAATTTGATTCTGACAAAGACATCAAGTTGATTCAGTGGCATAAGAACAGTCTTTTCAATATATAATACTAGAATCACTTAGCTATATATACAGGGGAAAAAATGACACAACTCATTGAATTAAATGGAAGTGCATCATGGACTTGATTCTGAGAGGTAAACCTATAAAATTCTCAAAGAAAACATATGAGAAAACCTTTGCAGTTTTGGATTATACAAAGATTTCTTAGAATGGAAACAAAACACATGAACCATAGGAATAATATTGATAAATTATATTTCACCAAAATTGAAAAGTTCTGCTCATTAGGATACCATTAAGAAAGTAAGAGATAAGCCACAGTTAGAAAATATGTGCAGTGCACATACCAAAGGATATGTATCAAAATATGTAATAAACTCTTACACCTCAATCATAAGAAATCTCTCAATAAAAATGGGCAATGGACACTTTACCAAGGAAGATACATTAGGCAACATCATTATTTATCAGTGAAATAAAACTTGAAACCACAACAAGGCACCACCACAAACGCATTAGAATGATTAAAATTATTGCTGGGGGAATGCAATATGTTACAACCATTGTGGAAAACGCAGGAGTATACAGACAGAATGAAGTCTGTAGCTGTTAATTTGGGGTGTCTATCACACCGCCACTCCCTGACAGCTCTCATCTCCCACCACGCCTCATCCACTGGTCCCTTCAGAGGCTGAGTTTCTTCCCACCACTGTCTCCTTTTCTGTGCTGTTCCGTTCACTTTCCTCGCCTTTCAGCTAGTCTAAACTTTATACTTCTTTTAGGGCTCAAACAAAGTCACTCGACTCCCCTGTTGCCCTGGCCCACTCTGATCTCGCTCCCCTCTGAACGCCTCTGCCATCTCCCACCTCCATATGTGCAGGACCATGATTAGAACCAGCACTGGGATATGCACGTGAGTACTGAAGGGCAGCCTCCATATTGTGTACCCTTATTTTCCCTGCATGGTGCTCAGAACAGGGCAGGCAACCAGTGTCTCGTGGTAGCTCTGGCTTCCTATGACCTCCATGTCTATGTATGAAACGTCATACCTGTTTTCCAGCCTCAAGTTGTGTGGCCCACTGTGCATTATTTTCACCAGGAGATTCAAAACCATCCTCTTCCTCTGCGAGTGGGGCCAACCAGGTCCGGTCATGCTGCTCCCTCGTCTCTGGGCCCTTTTTCATCTCTGTGACCAGTGGAATGATGTCTTTGCTTTTGGCAGCAGGGCCTCCTGTCCCCTCTTTTTGCCTTGGTAAGTTTTGACTCCTGCACCACTTGTGACAAAAATGCTGAAGAGTATGTATTACGAAGCAAAAAGCACGGTGGAACCGACCCAGGGCTAACTGGACTTTGGTTTTTTTGGACTCTCCATCCAAGTTTCCATCTCTCTCCTCATTGCTGAAGGAATTGAGCAGCAAGGCAATGAAGAGGTTGAGCACCTGCAGTGGGGTGGAGGGGGAACACACAAGGAGAATGGAAAGTTTAGCAGAGGGAAAGATACAGTGGGTTTCCAGAACAACTTTCCCCCAAGACCCAAAACTAAGTCACATGAGATACTATGTATCTCATGTACATGAGAAAGTTCATTTATAAAATGAATAAAAGGAGACAAGATCGAGGAAGGCAGCAAGATAAGATGAAAGTAAAACTGAAGTGAAAGAGTGCCAACAGCCAAGACCAGTTTGTCTACATACAAGCAACAGGTGTTGTAAACTCTGGCCAGGGTAAAGCAGAACTGTGTGACCACTGGCAAAATAAAAAATGTATATTCCTTGAGGATCAGTTGAATAGTAAGCGTGGCTTTGCTGGAATGGGATATGGGTCTGATGTCTAATACTGCCATGGGGTCCTCCCCTGTTGGCACAGTTGGAGACATGATGTGCTTTGTGCAGGCTCTTTAGGTCCTGTTGCCCAAACCACAACAAAGTATTGGAGCTGAACTGGAGGGGCTTGGATCGAATCTGCAACTCTTCTGTTGAAGCATGGATCACTTTAAATTCAGATCATCTCATCAGCTTCCTACTTGGGTTTTTTTGCTTACATTTACACACCCTCCAATTCATCATCTTCATCTCCTCAAACTCCTTTGTTTGTGGCTGTCACCAGCTCAAAAATATACAGCTTCGGGGAGGAGTGTCTTATGAGTGTGAATGGGTCTAGTCACTCTCCCACAACTTCACCACAAGAATTCCAGCTGTGGACCTCTGCTCAAGCTTTCCTCTGTTTGCCAAGTCCTCCTTGACTCTTTAGTGCCCTTCTCAAGTACTGTATCTTCCACGCATCCTTTGTCAACATTTTCTTCCCACTCCCATTGGTTATATTCTGCTCTTCTGAACTTTTGTACCACTTATTATCTAACATTGCTGATCAGGCACATAGGATAAAGCCATTGTGTGCGTGTGGATGGTTCAGTATATTTGCACGATAGCCCCAACTTGATTCTTAAGACCTTGTGCTCAGGTATCCTGTGTGTCTTCTCTTTTCATACCCTTACTGGGTACCCAATTAGCTAATAGTATCTGTGTTTCCAGCTGCAAGTGACAGACTCAAAGCAACTTACACAATAAGAAAATGTAACTTAGGAAGTTTGAAAATAAAACAGAAGGATGAATTATGACATGAAGATCGGTCTGCTCCCCCTCTTTCCTCTACCTTCCTCAGTGCTGGCTTTGTCTTAGGCTAGTTCTTCTCATGCTTGCATAATGTTTGCAGTTCTACCAGGAATCATGGTCATAAAAAGGCCCAGAGAAAATAAAAGGACCATTTTTTTTTAGCTCATCCCTTCTTTTTTTAAGAACAAGAAACCTTCTCACCAAATACCCCTTTACAACTTATTGACCAAATTAAGTCACAAACCCCTACTTCAACCATTCACCAACAAAGAGAATACAATTATCTTAGAATAATCACCTGGTATAAAATAGATATTGGGTCATCAGTTAATATGAGCACTATGTGAAAAGGAGGTTTTGTTTCATGCTTTTTATAATTTCCTCAAGTCAAATTCAAACGCAGATTTTTAATATCATAAAACATTAAATGTATAATATTATATTTAGAATAATAATTACCAGTGAAGTGTTGCAAAAGAAGCTAATACATTTGTGCAGTCCATATATTTAAAAAAAATCGAAGACACTCACCACAAGTTTTCCTATCACCATGATTGACAGAAAGACGACAATGCACAGTGCTTGATTTGTTTCTTGCATACATTCCCACATGTTTTCAATCCATTCCCCACAGAGGATGCGGAATACCACTAGAAAGGAATGGTAGAAATCCCCCATGTGCCACCGTCGTAAACATGGGGCTGTAGGGCCACAGGATGTTTTATTGCTCTTTATAGAATTGAATTTAGAGCCAAAGACCTGCATGCCAACCACTGAGAAAATAAAGACCACAATAGCCAGGACCACGGTCAGGTTTCCCAGGGCTCCAACGGAGTGGCCAATTATCTTTATCAGTATGTTTAAAGTTGGCCAGGATTTGGCTAACTTGAAGACTCTCAGCTGTAAAAACAGACAATAAGCAAAAATGGAAGAAAAGCCAGTTAAAGACAAATTCCATCTCCTCAGCTATATAGTAAATGACATGCTCCCAAATCACAGCATTTATGATTTTCAAAAATCTTTTCAAAGTCAAATCCATCCTAAACATAGTCATCAACTCCCTGGCCCATGATAACAACTATATCTACTTTTTTGTTTTAAAAATGGAAATATTTTGTTCTAATTTTTGTTAAATGATAAAGACTTTGGAGTCATGATGATGGAATTAAGCATACGTGTTTACTGCATAAAGTGAATGTTTTGGAATCCTATATAATATACCAAGGGTCAAAAAACTATGGCCCAAGGGCCAAATCCAGCCCATTGCCTGTTTTTGTATGTCCTGAGGGGTAAGAATGTTTTACATTTTTAAATGGTTGAAAAATAATTGAAAGAAGGGTATTTCATCACACGTGAAAATTGTATGAAGTTCAAATTTTTGCATCCATAAATAAAGTTCTATTGGAACACAGCCACACCCATTTGTTCTCAAATGTCTATGGCTACTTCCATGCTACAACACCAGAGTTGAGTGATTTCAACAGAGACCATACAGCTTGTAAGACTGCAAATATTTTACCATCTGACCTTTTATAGAAAAAAAATTGCTAACTTCTGCATTATATAATTCAGGTCACAAGTTTGAATCTGAACTTTCTAACAATGATAAGAGGAATATAGTGTTTTACACCCAGGAGAGAAAAAGCAATCAGTTACTCAAAACACACACACATACTTTCTTCAAAAAGAAGTTTTTTCCATGGAATTTTACAGACCCCATGTGAGACAGCACAACAACTAGTTTCATAGGTTATTTCTTCTATTAGCTTCCAGCATAAACCAATGGTTTCACTCCAAAGTACAATGGTGTTAAGTATCACCTCTTTGGGGGAGATACTGCAGGTCAGTAAGACTTATGGCCCAAGAGAGGGAACAGCACTGTGTCCTCAGAAGGGAGCTTGGGGCACCTCAGGGAGAAATCACGGTTCTGTTATACACAGACAATGCCACAGAGTTCCTCCCCTCAGAGCATGGCTGTAATAAGCCTAAACAATCATGAAGCAAATGTAATTTTGCTCACCTGAGTGCCAATGAAACTTTAGGAGAGCAACTTAATAATGTCTGACTTTGAGCAGTGTGATCGCCTAACATATCCCAAGTATAAAATGTATGTTTAGGTAACTGAAACAAATGTTTTACTCTGTAGGCTTAGAAATCTTATCCCTGCCAAAAGAAAAAGTAAATCTCTGAAAGGACACCAAAGGTCATCTTTTATGGCTTCCCAATCCCCCTGTCACATGTGGTTTCCCTGTAGCTTTCCATCCCTACCTCTCACGGGGTTTGTCACACACTCTACTTTGCCTCATTTCTGGCCCTGTCTTGTCTCATCTCTAGATGGCAAACTCCTTGAAGACAGTCCTTTCCTCGTCTTTGAGTGCTCCTTCAGGTCAGCTCCTCTCAAGTGCCTCTGCAAAGGTCACCAGAATGCCTCCACGGTCAGTAGGTGGAGGGCAAAGATGACAGGACAGGAATGTGGCACTGGAAGCAGTGAGGAGGAACCTATTGAGACAGCACCTGCCAGCAGTGCCCAGGGCCCCTCCTGGACTCTGCAGTCTTCACCCCCTTGGCAAGCCTAGATGTGAGCGTGCCTGGCTCAGAGCTCAGGGGTGAGTGGTGGGGAAGAGATCACGGGAGGGGGCTACACTAAGCAAGAAGAATCCTGACACCAGAAGATACCATGTTGAGTCAGGTTGCCTAAGGGGTCATCTCGGGATGGGGGAGGCAGGGGTTCAGCCGGGAGGAGACCTCCTGGGACTCCCAAGAGTATGCAAAACCTGGGTGGGAGGATGAGCGCAGTTTTGATTCTCAGGTTAAGGTAAGATGAGTTAAAGTCTGATGCAAAATAGCCACTGAACTCAGTCTGGACTCTTGTCAATCCTGGCAGCTAAGGTATTCCGTAAAATAAAATAGTAAGGGCCTTACCACTCTTAAGGGACGGAAAAACAGCAGGCTTTTTTTTTTCCCTGCAACTGTACTGTTCATCACATCTGCAAAACTCAGAAGAGCAACAATGCTGTCAAAAATGTTCCAGCCTCGGCGAAAGTAGTTGTAGGGATCAAGCGCAATAATTTTTAGGCACATTTCTGCCATGAAAATGCCAGTGAAAACCTACAGTGAGACAGGGAAGAATGAGAAACGGAAGCTACCCCTCCTTGAAGATACACTTCTAAGAATGGTCCAAGGGAACTGCAGAGGTTACAAAGAAATAAAATGCATTTTTATTTACTTTGCTGCTCTCCCCCCTCCCCATCATAGTGCCCATTACAATATTACCAAGCTCACAGACATCAGGGTGGAGAATAAATATTATTTCCCAAGGCACAATTGGCTTCTTGATAGAGGGCAGAGTGATAGAAAGTATCAAGCAGTTCTTCCTCTAGGTTCCCTTTAAAATGCCAATAAACACTCCCAGATGAGGGGAGGGGCAGGATATATAACATCTCTGAAAACTGACGATAAATATCCTCCATAAAGCAGAATCAGAGGAGTTCACCTAACCACTCAATCTCAACACCTTGATCAGAAAAAAAAAACAAACAAAAAACACTTAAAGGGGGCCGAGAGCAAAGAATTGGAAAACACTGCTAGAAACAGGAAAACATCTTTAAGCAACTCAATATATAGGCTTACCCTGTATGATGAATATCTTGGGATAAACCCTAGGTTGGTTAAGGTGGAAAGGAGGGTTAGTGATTTGGAATATAATCCTAAATCCTATAATTCACCCACAGAATGCAGGGTTCATTATTCCAGAACAAAATACCAAAGAATTAAAAGGAAGGGCAAGAGTTAAGAAAGTGCTAAACTATGTGATTTCCATGGGCACAAATAAGTGTTTTTGTTTTTGTCTTTGAAACTTAGATAAACACAGGCTTAAAAACATTGCACAATGTTGAATAAATGGTAGCTAAATTCAAAACTAACTCTATCATCAACATCTTTGGAGAAGATAAAACAAAGCATTTCTTCATAGCAAATAGCACATTCTGACAGAGACACAACTAAATAGATATGAGAAAACAAGAGTATGAAAACAATCAGGTAATATAAAAAGGTTGTCAGTAATAAGACTCTCTTCTACACTTCTGGGAAAGAAAAACAACTCAGAAATGATTTTTACATCTCCATAATAAAAAAAAAATCTCCTTATTAAAAGTAACAGATGATCCATTTTTATAAATAATTTGATGACTTACTATTCGTTTTAAAAATCCCTAAAATAAAGTGACACAAGTTAAAAAAGGATAGGCAAAGACAGATCCAAGATAGAAATCAAGGGGGCAAAGAAAACCCAAAGCTTGTGTCTTGTCTTTTCCCTTTAAATATTGCTATCTACCTCTGCCCAGAGCCACGACCAGTGCCTAAAAGCATGCAGTGTTACCTATTGTAGTTAATTGCACTGCACTGATCCCCGCCCCCTTTTGAGCTCCTCCTCCCCCTCCTGTCTCCTTCAGGCTTTAGGTGTCTAGCCTTACAGCAAAATCCTACATGCCTTCGAACCACTGGTTTTGCCATCCAATTCAACTGCTACTCATGGCTTCTTGGGAGCTCACTGTACTCCCCTGATTTGAGCAATACTAGTCCCACAGAACTGCACAGGCCAGTTGAATCCTGGTCCACCTGTCAGAGGAGGCAGGTTTGGATGCGTTCTTTGGAACTCAAGGCTCCAAAGCCTCCCTCCACCACTGCTATGGGGGTACAGTAGATGAGATGACTACCACCTTTGTATTGTGTGTTAATTTATTTTTTTAAAGATTTTACTTATTTATTTGAGGGAGAGAGAGAGAGAATGAGCTGGAGGAGGGGCAGAGTGAAAGGGAGAAGCAGACTCCCCGCTGAGCAGGGAGCCCCATGCGGGGCTCTATCCCAGGACTCTGGGATCATGACCTGAGCCAAAGGCAGCTGCTTAACCAACTGAGCCACCCAGGTGCCCCAAGGTATTGTGTGTTTATGGAATGGGGTACATGGAATGGAAGCACAGGCTACAAGGCCAGTTCTGCCTGTTTCTTGTCAGTTTTCAGGGGCTGGGGTATAGCTGCTCCCTGTAAACTCAGACACCAACATTGTCCCTGTGCCTCCTTCTGTACCACTTCTGGGGAGAGTGAAGAAGAATGTCACTTAATTATCCAGCTTCTGACTGCAAAACGCAGCTTCACCTCAACACCCAGAACAACTAGTCAGTGGGAAATCTGAGAGGGTGGCTTTTGTCATTTCCCACAGCTGGATCAGCAAATGAAGGGATGGACAGACCACTTTTGCAAACTGGGAAGCCCTGCCTAGGGGCATGACTCTGGGTTCCTTGGGTATTCTCTGGAACTTATCTAATAACCCCATCTACCAGGAGGTGCTGAAAGGTGGGTCTGCTGACTCTGCTGAGGGAGGAACCTGCAGTCACAGCTTTCTGTCTTCAAAGGAAACAACCCATTTCTGGAATACATCATCAGGAGACAGCTGAATACCATGGCCTGGAGCCCAGAAGATACCAGCCTGTTAGAAGGTACCATGTGTGTTAGGTTCATCATGCAACATGAAATCTAATCTGATCCACACACACCTACAGAGCATTTCTTCCCAAGGGCAGTCTGGGGAAAGAAACTTAAGTGCAGACTGTCTGTAAGGAGAACCACTCTGGCCTTGCACTGTGGTCCCGCTGTATCCCTGCACCTCCTGAGAGGGACATGGAACTGAGGGTAACCTCAACCTGATGCATAGAAGCAGCTCTGTGAACCAGCTTCTGATTCAATAGGTATAGTGGGTTCTGATCAGTGTAAAACAATTAATTAAAAAATACATGCGTATATATTGACTAGAGATCCTCTGCAATGCTAAAAATGATCATCGTTGCTAATAGGACCATAGGAAATGAGTTCTTTGTATTTCCCTTATTTGTACTTTTCCTTATTTTTAAAATTAAAAAAAGCATGTATTGCTTCTTAAGTTGAAAAAATAAAATAAAACTTTAAGAATAAACGGTTAGATATTCTGGTAAGAGTAACTCATTGGCTAATTAAGGTAGAATATTCAGTGGGTAATTTTTTGTTATTTCTGATATTTGGGAGACTAATTAATCCTTGGCGGGGTGGGGCGGGGAATGCCTTCTCCAGGAACAATAAATAGAACAGCTCATGGGAAGTCTGCTCTCCTTAGTTTTCCCAATTTAACTGGGACTAGATCCATCCAATGAGAAATATACTGAAGCAGGCTGAAGTCTGGAGGCCCCACTACCACTCCATAAGCTCTGCACAATTCCTCCTGGGAAAGTACGCCTCCCACAGCTGCCAGGCCCTGACCCATCTTTCCAGGGGGAATAATAGCTAGTAATGGCAGTCACATTATTTTGTGACAAATGATGTCATCCATATCACCAGGGACCATGGGACACATTACCAGGGTCTCTGGATATAGTTAATGTTTTCTTGATCATCCCAAATGGCTGAACTTTTAAGATGTCTGCTGGCTTCCTGCTTCCCACTGGATGACTAAAGAGATGCCTTAGCATACCAGAGAGCCAACACAGGGCCCATGGAAAATTACTGAACTGGGTAAAAACAAAATCCTAACAGTTATCTTCTCCCTCAATTCTACTTAATGGGACCAAAGACCTAGGCTAGGTTAGGCCACTTGCAACATTTGCAAGTTTAGACTCTGAAAGAATTATAATTCACAGTTTGAAATATTTTTATATTTTAAAAAGCCTAAAGTTACCAAATTCCCTATATGCAACATAGAATCAAAACTCCGGTGCATGTTGTAATGATCCATGGCCAAGAAGATAGTGTTGATGATGATACAGATGGTGATGGCCAGCTCAGTAAATGGGTCAGTCATCACGGTTGTCAGGGCCTTCTTAATGCACACCCACTGGGGGCTACAGTTCCATACGAGGTATTTGGATGCCAGGTTTCCCCCACATGGGAGGCAAGGCTCCTGTGATTTTTCTTGTTCTGGAGAAGGAGAACGTGAAAGAGCAGTTGAGTAGTTAGATCTGAATCCATCCGACTGCTATTGGCCTGAGTGCATTCCTTCCTCCCACTTCCCTAGGGTCTCCTATGAACAACCTGATTAGCCAAGAAGGGCACTGATGGGTGTAGCTGGAAAGGTTTCCCATATGCAACTTCCATGTGGTATAGCCATGTACATCTAGTCTTTATACTTGTATTTAGCATCTGGGAGCTGGGCTGCATGGCTAGAGATACAGATATGGAAGCCAACACTGGATGTGAACCCATGAGAGAGAGAAATATAAGCTCGTTATATTCATTGAAGGCAGACCATGGTGACAGCTGTAACAGAGTCACATAGAGCTACCAGGACTCAAGAGAAGGAGAGGTATTCAGGCAGGGGCATCTACATGCATTGAAAGAAAATGTCCTCTCCAGCTGGTTGAGTTCAGGCCATCAGGCTGCTGGACCCCTGATTTCCCTGGCACCATTTCAGGGACTCATGCCAGCCAAATGAGTTGATACAACAGGCTCAAAAGTGTTAAGGATCAATCTGACCCCACCTTTGTAAGGACTTGAGTCCTGCCTTTGAACCCAACCCCTTAGTTGGGTCCTGGTTACCTGCTGTTAATAAGGTCCATCAGATGGTTCCAGCCTATCTACATAGATCTTCCATTGTCCATGCCAGATTCCTAACTCTAACCTCAAATACAACTGTCACCTACTGGAAACTTCTGTGTCTTCTCTTCTTTGGTCACTATCATTGTCACTGCAACCTCATGTGACTGCCTGGCCTGATTGGGAGGTCCTGTCTGTACTCTTGGTCCCAAGTCCCATCACAAGGCTAGCCAGTTCGCACTACTACCCAAGGGCCAACTCAGGGTGGGCCCACTTCTTCCAAGTCACTTAGCTCACACGCTCCAATGAGGCACAAGAAGTGACTCTGCAGGAAATACAGGGGGCTTCAGAGGGCTTCTGGGGGAGGAGAATGGAGGGACATCACTGCAGTTCAGCTCTCCCTGGGGCTGGGAGGCAGAGCTTACCCTGCACGGTGATGGTGAGGATGCTGACAGCGCTCAGGGCCCTCTGTCTTTGGAAGGGGTCCCCATGCTCATCGAAGTAATCCACTGACAGATTCTGGGATAGTCGTTTGGTTTGCTCTAGGATGTGTGGCTGTAAGAGAAGGCAGGCATGATGGACCTTCAGAGCAAAGAGGCTGCCTCTCCTCAAAACTTCACAAGCTACTTTGTTTCAATGCCACATGCCTCAAAGACACTTCATATCTTATATAGGTCCACTCACTCCCATTTCATGGCACACTGAAGGTTCAGTTTTTGTATTTCATATTTAGTAGATAAGTACAATATAGTTTGACCATTCATATTTCTTATGCATGCACATTTTCAGGGTCCCAGCTACAGAAAATTTTCTTTCTCTGTGATTTATTCATTGTCAACAAAGAGCAAGCAAAATTTTATAAAAACGAATGAGCAACAGTTCAGGGTACAAAAGCAATAAAAAGTTGAATTTAGAAACAATGTTTTTGAGTGGCAGAAGTGGGGGATACATTTAGAAGGGTGGACTGGGGCCAGATGGTGAAGTGCCCTGAATGGCCGCCTAAATTGATTTGAAAACAGTCAGTAACTTAAAAAGAACAGCCAAAGTACATACGACAACTTCTATATACTAAACCTCAAGCACTCCTTCAGGCTGTTTCCAGGAGCTTGACTCTCACCTGACCTCCAATTCTAAAGTCTCTGGAGGTGAAAAGACATAAATCTCCAGATACCTAGAAAACTATCCACAATGACTTATTTCCCCAAAGTTCTGACCAACCAGGGCCCCAGAGGGAACTATCGCTTGTGATAAGCTATTTTAAAGGCAATCTATAGTCTTTCTATAGCTAGTTCTCTTTTGGTTTAGGGAAAAGACTTCTTATTAACTGTCTGTTCTTGGTCTATTGTTTTGTGAAATGAGGAAAAACCCTCAAAATATTAAAAAAACACTTGCAGTTTCTTCACTATGCTATAACCTGACATTAAAGAAGTCTCCAAACCGAGAGATCTGTCCCTGTCATTCCAACAGAGAGCTGCTCACAGCAGTGAATGAGGTCTGTCCACCTACTTCTGCAAAGACTCCCAGACCCCCTTTCCCCACCCCACCCTCAGGTGTGCACAGCCCCCTTCTGACCACTTCACCTCTTCTTTCCATCTCAGGAAAGTGGTTCTAGTCATTATTCCATGGTCTGTATCTTCAACATTTTCCTCCCTTCTGAAGTTTCTCTCCACAATCAAAACATGTTTGAACATCCCCCACCTCATTGATTAAAAAAAGGCGGGGGGGGGGGCTTTTTTCCTACCGCACATCTCCCCATAGCTTCATTTCTGCATATCCTATGGCCTACTCAATATCCCTGCTAGGATGCCCCACAGGCATTTCAAACTTGCCACGTTCAAAACTGAACTTTCCTTCTTCCCCACCACCAAGACATGTTCCTTTCCTGTCTCAGTAAACTACCCTCTATCAAGTTGGCTACCCAAGCCATCAACTGGGCATCTTCCCCACCCCGTACATCTAGTCGACTGCTGAGTCTTATCTTCTGGAGATCACTGCACCCTGTTATTCTCTCTTCATCCTCCCGCCCTAACCACAGTTTAAGCCCCTGCGCCTCTTTGATTACTGTCACAGCTTCTTAATTTGTTGCCTCCAATTCTGTCCTACTCCTGTCCCGTCTCTTCAGTGCATCTAGGATTTCAAAACTGTCAATCTCGTTGTCACTCTTTTGCTCAAAACCTTTCAAAACTGCTTAGCCCTTGCTCTCTGAGTAAAGGGTGAAACCCCTGAGCTGGCTTCAAGGCCTTTTGTGATGACCCCATCTTACTGCTATAGTCTCTCACCACCCACCCTCCAGCTTCATCACATACACACATGTGCGTGTGCACACACACTCCCAAGTGTTCCACTGGATCATGTTCTCCTGCTCTCCTTTGCCTCCAGGCCTTTGTATGTGCTGTTTCCTCTACCTGTGGTACTCCATTCACTTTTTACTAAAGGATGAAACATTAATTCACCCTCTCGGCACAGACACTGCTTCCAGTCCATGGCTCTTTTCCCACTCCCACAAGTCTGGGTTGGTTGTCTGAAGCAGATGCTGCTGTTGGCTGAATCGGTATGTCCCTGGGTCCTACCTGAGGCTTTCCCTGGCGACTTGATTACCCTCTTCCCTAATGCACGCCAAGTCAAAAACCCAGGAAAATGATTATGTCCAGAACCCAGCAGTCTGGAACCAGTGATGGAGCAAAGTTGGTGTATAAATACTCTAGTGCCCTCACTCCATGGAGATTAAACTCCAACCACGTTCAGTGGTCACTGGCTTGATAAGGAACCTTAATTGGCCACCTGCTCTTCCATGTATCCATTCTTCCCTCTCCTCTTGGTGCTTCCTGGGATCACTTCCTGAATAATCTATTTGTGCTCTAATGTCTCTGGGTTTCCTTTGGAGGGAACCCCAGCTAAGACACTGCCTCTCCTCTGCTCTCCCATAGCGATCATCATGTCAGTAATCACACTGAACAGTAACTGCCTCCTTGTCAGTGTGTCTTCATCATTAGTTGTCTGTTTCTTACATCTCATGCATCCCCAGGACCTACGCCAGTGCCAAGCAGATAGTAAACACGGTCAACACTTCAAATAGATGCTTGTAAATAAATGGGTCATTGACTAGATACATGGATGTGGGCAAGTAGGCACAAATGGATAAATGGATAAATGAATAAATGAATGAATGAATCCTTTCAATTAGACCGACAACTTGACCTGTTCCCCTAACAGTACTATAGTATCATTAATTTCTGGGTCAAAACTTGCCTTTTTTGTGGAATCTTCATCAGAATCTGATCCTGGAGGCTGGTCTTTCCCAGAGTCTCTCAAAAGAAAGGACTTTCTTTTCCTTTTACCAAAAAGCTTTCTCTTCTTTGGGGAAAAAGATGATGCTTCAAGGGAATTAAGTGAACTTCTGTCAATTCCCATGGCAACCAGAGCCTTAGAAAGTGAACAAAAGCAATTAATAAACACATTATACCTCCCCATAAAACACTGCAAATGACCCAAACTTCACAAGTGTTCTCTCCTCTCTTCTGGAAGCATCATACCATTTAGATTGTTCATCATGTACTTGGAATATGCTAGCTTTGTTATTATTTATCAGAGGCACATATCCTGTTTGTTTATCCACAGAAATTGCAGCCTCAAAGGCAAGGTTAACTCTTTCATATCTCTATCACTAACTCTGAGCACAGAGTCCAGTATGTGCTAGGCACTCAATAAATATTTGTGCCTGATGATGCAGGTATTAAACAGGATGGGCTCCCCACTGACAAATCCCTGTGCAGGATGAGAAAGAGCATAAAACATGTTCCTGAAATCTTAGAATTGGGAAAATGATACCAAGGAAACAATGAGAATGGACTATAAATACGACAGGAATTTCAAGAAGGGAGAGGTGATCTCAGCTATTGTCTTTAATGGTAGAACACCATTACTGCTTTCCCAAACCCTGCCAAGCAAAGGCCCTGAACGCATACATCTCCAGATTCCCATAAGAAATCCTGGAGCAGAGCCTTAGTTTACATATATGTACATTTTATCCTCTAGCCAGCAGTCTGGGGTCTGTCCTAGAAGGCCCAGATTTCAGAAAATCTAGGGTTCCTGGTTCTTAAGAGCTCTATGCCTGGACTTTGTAGTGAGAGACAGCAGCAGAGCCAGTCTTCACAGGGCTTCAGTTCCCAGAAAAGCACCAGTAGAGAAAGCTCTGAGACCAGGTCTCATGGCCTCTGCAGTTCCCCACCACCACCCAAGCAGACCCCACTATCTGACACTGCATGCCCCTACCTCCTTCTCCTCCTTCAGCAGCCGCTGGGCTTCCTGGAACATCTTCTCCTTGGCCTCTGTCTCAGCAGCTACATTTCTGTTCTGTTCCTCATAAGCCATGGTGACAACAGCCAGGGTTAAGTTCATCAGGTAGAAAGAGCCCAGGAAGATGACCACCACAAAGAAGAAAACTGAGTAGAGCCCTGAGGTACGCAAGGTCTGCAAAGGACAGAGCACACATTTGCCTCTAAAACCTTTTTCTACAGAGGGGGTACCGTCACCTCAAGCAGACATGATACAGTAGCAATCGGTCCTCCTCCTCGTCTATAGCCTCCCATCACCCAGGGACTCTTGATGCCCAACAGTGAGCAGATGCCATCTCTATATTCCCGCTTAAGACGTGGTGCTTTGTTACGACTTTCTCAAGGGTAGCTGCATTTTAGAATTTAAAAGCCAAGAGAGAAAGGAATGCTTCGTGAAAACTGAAGCACTGGTCGTGGAATCCGGAGAGGGCTAACATTTCTAGGAAGAGGAGATGGTTTTTTATGTTTCTAACAGACTACCTAAGGTAGAATTTAACAGTACAACTATTGAGGATGATGAACAGATGACAAAGGAGGAGGGCAGATGATAAGTCATGAATAAATGAAAGACAGATGAGCGATAGAGCGGTAGGAAGGAGTGGGGGGGAGGGTGGAAGGAGAGAGGGGGAAGAAGAACGAGAGAGAATAATTAGATAACCTGTTGATAAAGCTTCTCCCAGGAATCTTGGGTCATAAGCCGAAACATGGCAAGAAAAGACCAGCCAAAGTTGTCAAAATTGGTATAATTATAGTCAGGATTCCTTTTGGTGTGTGTGCATTGAAAATTTTCAGAACAGGCGCTAGATGGAAACAATGGAATAGAGGAGGAATTACGTTCCCTGCAGGCGGGCTTCCCTCCCACCCCCACCCATCCCAGCCACGGCAGCAGCTCTTCTGAGGGCCACGGGCTCATAAGGGAAAGTCCTGGGTGCAGACTCTTTACACAGGGGCCATGCCCCACCTGCCAAGCCTTCCAGCCTATCCCTTACTGAGGGCACTCACTGACTCTTTTCAGATGGATTGATTAGTAAGCTCATATTAGCAGTTTTTCATTAAAAATTAAGTGCAGTGACACAGTGAACAATTAGTGGTAATAAAGGGCAAGAGAAGCACATACGCACCAGTACACATCTTTTACAATACATATATGGGATTGTTCTTTGACTATTCTCTTGTGCCTTGCTTTTATCATGGAACAATATAGCTTGGAGGTCTTTCCACACAAGCATACAAGGAAGTATTTCTTTTCATGTCTTATAGTTCTATGATTTATTTAATTGCTCTGCTAGTGGTGAAGATTTAGGGTTTCAGTTGTTAACAGTCTTTTGTTCTCATTACCATTTGGGTCTTACTTTACAAACAGTAGATCTCTTGCACATAGGTCTTTGCCCACATCACCAAAGCACACATCATTAAGTGCATCTAACAGATAATACTAAGGGTAGGTACTTTCTTCATTTTTAATAAATATACTATTTTGATCAAAGTAATACATGCATGTGGTTTAAAAATCATGTGGCACCAAGAAGCTTGTAATGAAAACCATTCCATCATTCTTTAATCATCATTTACACACTGCCAAGTCAACAACTTTCAACTCTTTTATGTCCATATGTTTAAAGATAACATTTATGCTGGTATATACCAACTTTAGTCCTTGGTGATTAAGTTCCTGCTAAGATGAAAGTTAGCTCCTCAACATCCCATCCCACTTATCACTACTTAGGTCCCTCTTTTCAAAAAATACTGTGGCCTGTGTCAAGGGCTCTCTGGGGTTGGATACGTTTTTTCCTTGGCTCTTGTGTGTGGCTTTTTCCAAGTTTTACTTTCTCATTTTTCTGGAACAAATATCAAGTGGCTTCTTAAGAAGACTGGGTGATCTTTGCATATGTGAGTATATCTTTATTCTACCTTCACAGCTGATTTGATTGTTTGGCCAGAAGTAGAAACCTGGTTTGAAAATAATTTTTCCTTAGAAATATGAAGGCACTGTGCAGTTATCATCCTGTGTCGCTGTTGAGAATTCTGATGCCATTTTGATTTTTGTTCCTTTGTGGGTGACCTTTTTCTCTTTGGTTTTAGAATCTTTTCCCCGAAAGTCCACAATAATGCACTTGGCATGGACCTTCTTCACTCATTGTGTTGGGCCCCTTGTGGGATGCTGAGGGACTTGCATCCTTAAGCTCAGGAAAATTCTCTGTATTGTGGCATTGCTAGTTTTCTCCCTTTTGTTTTTTCTGTGCCCTATTTCAGGAATTTCTAGTCAAAAGTTGGAACTTCTGGTTTGATATTTATTCTCATATTTTCTGTCTCTGTCTTTTGTTGCTACTTTCTGGACTATTTCCTTTACTTGACCTTTTAATTCTATTATTGATATTTTGTAATCATGTTACCAAAAAAAAAAAATCTTTCTCGCTTAGTGACTATTCCTTTTTCATAATGAGCTACTTTTGTTTTTATGCATACAGTATCTCTCTTAATTCACTGAGGACCCTATTTAAAGTTTTAAAAGTCCTTTTTGGTTCTCTCTGAACTGTTGTTTTGTCCACGGTTCTTATGGCCTGAATGTTTGGGTCTTCCTGAAATTTTTGAGTTGCAATCCTAATCTCCAATGTGATGCTGTTGGGAGGTGGGGCCTGTGGGTAGTGATTAGGGTGGGAGGGTGGAGCCCTCATAATGGGATTTGCACCCTCATAAAAGAGACCCCAGAGAGCTCCCTTTCTGCCATGGGAGGACACAACAGAGAAGACTGCCACCTACAGCCAAAAAGAGGGCCCTCATTAGAACCCAACCAAGCTGGTGCCCTTATCTTGGACATCCAGCCTCCGGAACTGTGAGAAATAAGTTTCTGTTATTTATCAGTCACCCAGTCTACAGTATTTTGTATAGCTGTCTGAACTATGACAATGTTCGTTTTTCCTGTTTCTTTATCTCGGCCCCCTTTATGCCAAAGACTTTCTTCAGCTATCTGGTGAGCCTGGGCTGTTCAGTCACATTTAATCAGAGGTCCTGACAAGTTGATTGGGAGTTTGCTTGGTGGGCAGAGTAGGACTCAGTGAGTGGTAGGCTTTGCATTAGGGTGACTCAGAAGGAAGACATCCATTGTGCCCTCTTCCCCACCAGACCTCAGTGAAACCCTGTGAAGTCCCAGCGCCCTTATCTTCCAGGAACCTACTGGGGCTGGACCTCACATACTTGATTTATCTTACTTCCTGGTCACCATTCAAGATATTAGCTTGTTTTGTCCAATATCCCTCTGTCTAGATATGCCTTCCTGTCAACATATACAGGTAATTAAGTCTCTCCTCCAGTGGTCCCATCTCGGCAAAAACATCACCAGTCATTCACCCCGGAAGCAAGAGAAACACCTCTTAACAGTTTTCTCCCCTCAACACATCCCACCACCCTACCACACATACACTCGTGCACAGTGTACATGTCAACCCCCTTCTTCAAGTCACAATCTTGTTCTTTTGGTCTCCTAAATGTCTTTGGAATTCATCCATCCATTTCTCATCATCTCCACTGCACTGCTTTGTGACTTTCATGTGTATCAACCTAGTCTTCTAAGTGGCTGCCTCATCTGCTCTATGCATCCATTCTCCACATAGCATCTGTAGTGACTTTTACAAACAACTAATCTGCTCAGATCTTGTTTCCTTTGTGATCAATGTCAAAATCCTTGGCACTGATGGGCTACCAGGTCTTGCAGTGTTAGTTCTTGTCTCCTGCCTCTCTGCTTCACAAGCTGCTGGGCTTCTTACTGCCCCTGAGCTCAGGCCCTCAGGCCCAAAGCCTCCCCCCTTACTATTCTATGGACTGAAATTGTTCACTCTATATCCTCACCTACCAGAACCTCCTACTCATGCTTTAGATCCACATTGTGGTCACCAGTCAGTTGGTTCTCAGGGAAGGAGGCAGCAAGTAAAGGCTGAAAACCAGGCATCAGCCCTGGACAGAGAGCTGCCTATGAAAGTGACCTTAGACCTGCCATCTCCTTGGAAACTACTATGTTATGATCAATGGGGAAGGTCATGTACTAGGAGTTGGTCTTCTATAAAACACCTGAGCTTTGAGACTACACCTAGACTAGAGAGCTATGCTTGGTACACAAGCTTAGAGAGACGAGGACACGATAAGGACCAGTTAGAAGCCAAGGCTACTGTGTCTATGTGTCCAAGTGGCCGACCCCACCTTGGATTTTGCCTACAGTAACTGTACCTGCCCGCGTGGGGTAAAGGAAGCACTGTATGTGACAGCTGTTGGTCCCCTCATTAAATGAAAGCACTGTGGATGCAGTGTGTCCTGTTGGAGATCATTTTAGAGAACTCAGTAAACCTTTTATTAGAATAAAGTCTATGATGTCTTGTGAGTTTGACTAAATCTGAACCTATGACCACCCAGGTGGCATTAGAGGACACTTCCCTCATTTTACAGACAGGGTTATACCCTCTGTTCAATTTCTCTCAGTACCTACATCTCTCTCTCAAAACACTCATCATACTTTCAAGGAGTCAAACACACTTTCTCTCCTTCCTGTGAGATGCCAGATTCAAGAGGAAAGTGATCTCTAGTTCATATTTGCATTCTTTGGGGCTAGCACAGAATTTGGCATGCTATTAGCCTTTGATACATACTTGTTATTGAGGAACAAATTTAGCCTATTTTATCAGAGTGACTAGCATATTATCTTAATTTGAAATACACTCATTAAATCATCCTGAATTGAATTTCTCACCACAGAGAGCACTGATACTCTGGAAGAAAGAAGGGTATCCCTAAAGGGCCAGAGAGCTATGAGTCTCTAGGGTGAATGTGTATGAACACACATACAACTGTATATGAAATTAGAGGCAGTGGTGATCAACACATGAGCAAACAGAGGAAGACATTCAGATAGTCTTGCATCAGGTCCATGCCACTGGACAGGAAATAAGGACTCCATGGGGCTCTCAGTCATAACGTTCTTCCTACCCTTTGAAAGTCTTGAATACCCATTCCACAAAGTCAAAATATCACATTTTCAGTAGGTTTCTTCAGCTATAAATTCAACACGACTTGGGGGAGAAAGCTGCTCTAAACACTTGGAAATAATTATTATAATATTAATTATAATTAAGTGTATCATTTTACTATTAATTTTTAAATTAATGGATTAATTTTATTATTAATAATTATAATAATGAATTATTAATAACTTAATGCATGTCTAAACTTGCCTAAACACATGAAATAATCAGTACTGTTTGCCACATTACCCCAAAAGGTCCACCGGTGCTGTGCTTGGGAGAAAAATGGAGATATGAACCTCTTACCTGTTACCCATCCAGATGCCACACATTCTGAATTCAGAGGAATTTTTCTTTTCAAAGCAACTGTCTGAGAAGGAAAGAATCATAAATTCAGATTAAAAAAACAAACCTGAAAGGAAAGAGAATAGCAAATATGCCAGATTTGCTTGAAACAAATGGTTTGGAATCCTCTGAAATGATCAAAGTGGATGGCCAGAGAGGAACCAGAGCCTAACCCCTCAGGAAGGAGTAAGAGAAAAGGAGGGAAAGGAAGAAGGAAGAAGGAGGGGGAGGAGCAAGCAGCGAGCCCACCACGCCCCTGAGGCCCCTCAGTGTATAAAACTGCACCAGAGGCCATGCCCTGAGGGAAGCTGGACACAGACTCAGCCCAAGACAGTCATGGAGAGGGCTTAGCCACATGAGATCCCAGACACATGAAATTGCTGTAGGGTTGACTTCAGTGTGGAGAGGATGCAACAGGAAAAGAAGTGATATCATTGGAGAAAATACCCAAGGAGGAGGGCTGGGAAGTTGCTGGACAAATGCAGGCGTTCTGAAGACTTCTGCAAAACATGACAAAGGATCAGGCAGATCCATAGGGGAAGAGATAGGAGCTGACATCACTTGTGTGGATTTGGCTGCAGGCTTTGCCTTCTCCATGGAAACCCAAAGAACGAGGCAGTTCTCTAAGAATGCATCTGCCTGCACGAGAACTCTGGATGGATGAAGTCATCCTTGCTCCTAAGAGACTCTGTAATGCAGATCTATAGATAGTTTGAGTGATGACAATAAAAGTTAACCATGCACAGACCAAGGCGTGAAAGGTGGAATATTTACCATCAGGGTTATCGATATTCCTACAGTCATTATGGAGACATCTCTGGTTCAGACTTCCCATGAAGAGCTGCTGACCTACCAGGGTGAAGATGCTGAGGCAAAAGAGAGTCAGGATCATCACGTCAACAAGCTTCTTCACAGAGCGCAGCAAGGCCCCAACAATGACCTTCAGACCTGGGGAGGAGAAGGACCGGTATGGGGAGAAGCCCCCACTCACACACACAGCAGACAAGGGCAAGGATCAGGGAGGGAAGAGCCAAGGCCTCAAACATCGCCCAGCTGCAGGCTGGAACCAGAAACTGGCCTGGCCTATGATTCTGATGCCATGGGTTCTGGTTCTAACTCTGCCTGAGAAGTTGTATGGCATTGAGTAGTCCAGTAGTCTAGAGCTCAGCCTCTTCATCCTGCCCTGTGTCTGCCACAGGGTTGCTCTGAAGAGTTAGTGAGAAGACTTTCAGTAGAAACATCCCATACAGACAACTTGATTACAGTTGTACAGACACCTCGCAGCTGGGGATTTCATGCAGCACCAAGGCCAAAATGAAGCCACCCTAGAGGAGACAGACCTGTATTTAACATTCAGTAGTCACCACCTACTAGAAGGTATGCAAGGTGCCATGAGACAGTGCTAAATTGGGGGGCAGGGAGCTAGAAGGAGGATCTTTGTCTGGACCCAGATAATGAGAATATTCTAGGGGAAAAAAACTCAGATTACTACTTATAATAGGTTTTTTTTTAATTCAAGAAATATTTACTAAGGGATTTACTGTGTCCATGGCACACTGCTAGGCTGCCAAGATACAAAATAAGAAAGACATAACCTTGTGGTACAATGGTAAATGTTTAAAATCAGCTTTCTAGAGGTGCCAGGGTGGTGCAGTCAGTTAAGCCTCTGACTCTTGATTTCTGCTCAGGTCATGATCTGAGGGTCATGAGATCAAACCCCGTGTCAGGCTCTGTACTCAGCATGGAGTCTGCCTGGGATTCTCTCTCTCTCTCCCTCTGCCCCTCCCCACCCCCGCTCTTTCTCTCTCTCTCTAAAATAAATAAGTCTTAAAAAAAAATCAGCTTTCTGTGTGGGGGAGGAGTGTGTGTGCAGAGAAAGTCCCATCTATAGCATTTACAGACTTCTTTGCTGAATTATGTAGTGTAGATCCCTCTTCTCCTTCCAGAGAGCCCTCTCACCCTGCTGGTTTCAAGCTAAACTACATGACATCCCTGGATGCAGAGCTGGAAAAGAACATGCACAGTCTGCTGCTGAGGAGCCAGAACAAGTCAACTCTACCAGTACACCACTCGTCAGGGGCTCTGCTCTCAGCACAGCTGGAGAGATAAACAACCAGACATGACTTACAATGTGTGAGATGACACAAAGTGGCAGCGTTTCAACTAATTGGTGTAAACCATGACTGGTAGACTTGAGAACAGAAAGCAACATCTAATGGGAGGCCATACAGCAAATGACCCTTCCACAAAGTGCGATGCCACATAAGGAGGAGGACTGAGGACAAGCTGGGACATTCACTGTGTCCCCAGCTGCAGCCAAACAAGCAGATGCTTCAACCTCATCTACACCGGACTCTCATCTATAACAGCATGCTTGAGTCTTCTTCAAAGCAAGAGCATCTGGATGAAAGATGGCTCTGATTCCTGAATAATTTTTATAAAGTCCCTTAAATTATCCTACCTCACATCCTTACTTCCAAAAAGTATCCAGGGATCTCATGAGTTTCATCGGTCAAAATGGAGACTATGTTCACCTGCTTAGAGATGAAGAAGGAAACACTATAGCTGCTAAGTGACTGCCTGATGTATATATTACCCGTTGGAAACACAAGGCAAAAAGGCCCTAAATTTACCTGAAAAACCAAGGTCCACCTTGCAAAAGAGGAAGGAAAGGAGGAGAGGGACAAATTCTACATAAAGTGTCCTTGGCTGCCAGTTTATCACTATGTAGTTTTTTTTCTGAGGTTTCAAAAAATAACCCACTGCCTCTGTTTGAAAGGATCCAAATTGCCTAGAGTTTTGGTAGTGGAGCTAAGCATTGATAGAAGAGATTAGAACGGAAGGGAAGAAGAAGGGGGGGAGCGAAGGACTCCAGAGAGGGAATATCTTTTAGTAAAGGTTTTTTAATGTAAAGGAAAGAGGAAGGAGAGCAGAAGGGTATGCCATAATAATCTCATTTTTTATAAACTTTGGTTCATATTCACAACCCATCCTTAGCTTCATCCTGATTCACAGAACACCTTCCTTACATAGCTTCCAGGATCCACCTTTCCCTCTTACTTTCTGGTGGCTCCTGCTCATCCCCTTTGCTGGTTTCTCCCCTTCTCCCTTCACCTTTAAGGTGGTAGTGCCCTGGGACTCAGTCCTTGGCCCTCTTCTATTTTTCATCTAGGCTCACTCTCTTGGTGATCTCATCAGATTTCATGGCTCCAAGTATCATCTATAGGCTCACGATTTCCAAAATGATATCTCCAGCCCAAGCTGCTGCCTGGACCTCCGGACTTGTATACCTCATTACCTACTTGATACTTCCATTTGATGTCTCACAGCTATCTCAAACAGAACACGTCCAAAGCTAACTCCTCATCTGACCCCTAGACCTGCTCCTCTCGCAGCCTTCCCTGTGTCAGTCTGCGATGACTCCACCCTTCCAGTCACTCAGGCCAAAAACCTTGACTCATCCTTGACTCTTTTCTTTTGCTCACATCACACATACAATCAGCCTATCAGGAAATCCTATTGTTTCTACCTTCAAATTCAGAGAGTCGGACAACTGTCTACCAATTCCCCTACCACCATCTGATCTGAGAGCACAACCATCTCTTTTCTTGGATTATGACAGTGGCCTCTTGTGTCATTTTGGGTTCTCTGAGAAGCAGATCCACTGGAACCAGAAGTGCAAGAGATCTGTTGGGTGACATGCCTGTGAAGAAGAAGGGGAAGCGAGTAGAGCTGGCCGGGAGAGCATCAGACTATGACACAGGGCTGACACCCAGGAAAGGAGAGTGGTAAGGAAGCAGCACCGGACAAGAAGAGCCTCAGACTGTAGTGCCACTGTGAGAGAGTCTCAACCAGATTCCTGAGGAGCCCCTGAGCTAAAGTCCTTCAGGACTTTATCCTTTAGGAATGGGCCTGCACTAGTCCTCCTGACATGCAGGGAAAGTGTGATCTTGGCATGAACATGAATGCAGTTGTGAATCCAGAGACGTGGCAGCTGGGATCATCAGTCAGCTATGCTCCCTGCAGCAGGAGATCTGAGTGGCACATTTCCATGATGATCACCATGCCTCCTATCCGATCTTTCTGCTTCCACCTTTGCTCCCCCACATTCTATTCTCCATGCAACAGCCAGAGTAGTCCATTTAAAACCTGTCAGATTAGGTGAATGGATAAAGAAGCTGTAGTGTATGTATAAATATGTGTGTATATATATATTTATACACACACACACACACACACACACACACACAGTGGAATATTATTCAGCCATAAAAAAGAATGAGATATTGCCATTTGCAACAACATGGATAGACCTAGAGGGTATTATGCTTAAGTGAAATAAGTCAGACAGAGAAAGACAAATACTGCATAATTTCACTTACATGTGGAATCTCAAAAACAAAACAAATGAACAAACAAAACAAAATGGAAACTCATAAATAGAGAGAACAAACTGGTGATTGCCAGGGGGATGGGAGGAGGGGCATGAGCAAAAGAGTGAAGGGGAGTGGGAGGCACAGGCTCCCAGTTTGGGAATGAATAAGTCATGGGGATGAAAGGTACGGCATAGGGAACATAGTCAGTGGTATTGTAATAGCATCATATGGTGACAGATGGGAGCTACAGTTGTGGTGAGCACAGCATAATTTATAGAATTGTGGAATCACTATGTTGTACACTGGAAACTAATGTAACGTGTGTCACCTCTACTTCCATAAAAACAAATCAAAACAAAACCCCTGCCAGATCATGTGACTCCTCTGCTCAAAGCCCTCACGTGGCCCCCATTTTCTCAGAGCAAAGCCCTAGTCCTCCTAGTGGTTATGTGCCTCCCCTTCACCTACGCGGTCCCACTTCTACCACGCGGCCCCTCACTCTGTCTGTTCAGCCCCACCTACATCCTTTCTATTCCTCAGCCTGCGCTACTGGCTGTTGCCTGTGCGCAGAACACTCTCTCCCATATATCTGCTTATGAAACTCCCTCACTGCCTTCAAATCCACTCCCATCTCCCATCCCCCAATGACACCTATTTTGACTACTCTATTGAAAGCTGCATCCTACATCCCTGAACCCCTGTGACTTCCAGTAGCCCTCATGTTGTTTACTTTTCCTTTTTATTTTTCCATGGCACATATCACTTTCTAAACAGGATAGATAATTACCTCTTAATTATTGTTATTGCTTAGGGTCTGTCTCCCCACCCCAACCCAGAATGTGAACTCCATGAGGGCAGAGACTTCTGTCTGTTCACTCACTGTTATGATATACCCCAAGCAGCTAGCACGGTGTCTAGACATATGCTCAAATACACATTTATTGAATGATCAAATAAATGAGTAAAGCAGAATTTGTTTAGTTTTGGTTTATATGACATCTTGAGAAATTTTATATATAAAAGAACATTCCTCCTGCTAAAAGGCAATGTTGAAAATCAGAGTGACTTACCTGAAACCACTGAAATTGCTTTCAAAGCTCTGAACACTCGGAAGGTACGCAGGGATGACAGACCAAAGATGCTTTCCCTGGCTTCTGGTATGTATGTTGCAAACCTATAAGACAAAGCATAGGAAAAGTCTGGGCCTACTCAGTCCTACAGCCACACTGTATATCTCCACAGAGGCCACAAATAAACATGGGCCCTGTGTCTATCATGGTGAAATCTGGGGCCTCACCTTCTCAGCCTCACCTTCATCTTTGGGTCTGGTAATATTCTCTATTGCTGTGGACTACAGATTGCACAAGAGGCTGTGCTCATATATATATATATATTTTTTTTTTTTTTTTTTTTAAGATTTTATTTATTTGACAGAGAGAGACACAGCAAGGGAGGGAACACGAGCAGGGGGAATGGGAGAGGGAGAAGCAGGCTTCCTGCCGAGCAGGGAGCCCGACGCGGGGCTCGATCCCAGGACCCTGGGACCATGACCTGAGCCTAAGTCAGATGCTTAACGACTGAGCCACCCAGGCGCCCCCTCATTTTCATATTTGGACATAGATGAGGATTCCTTGAAATAGTATACATGTTGTGGCTACATCCATTGATAGTAGAAATCAATTGAAACACTTATTGACTACCCAGTTCCAGGCCCAGTGCACTTCCCTAAGGTCTCACTATGTGGCCAAGCCCGGAAGAAACTCAGGCAGTCTGACTCCAGAGCCCTCATCACTGCACTACACCACTTTTCAATAGCCAGAATCACCCAATCATTGAATTTCAAGTGTAAAACTCTGATATTAATAGCATCTACTTCAAAGGGCTTTCATGAATATTAAACAGGAAAATATATGCAAAGTGCTTAAAACAATGACTGGCACAAAATAAGTAATGTGAGATTTATCATTATTGTGCTGGCAGTGGGCCATTACTCTTCTTATTCTTTATTTTGCTAACTCTGTTTCATCATTCAGATGCCAAACTGACGTCCTTTCCTTCAAGAAGAACTTCAACTCTCACCTCATGTCATGTACAATATACATAATAATTAACTCAAAATGGACAATGGACTTAACCCTAAGAGCCAAATCTATAAAATTCCTAGGAGAAAATGAAAAAAAAAAAGAAAAGAAAACTCCTTGAGAGCTTGCAGTAGCCAAAGATTTTTAAGACTCTGTGGTTCCTCCTACACGTTCTGACAGCCCAATATATGCCCAATTCCTGTCCTAACACTCACCCTACCAGATTGTGATGGTTGTTAATTTTCTCTCTTCCCATCTGGACTGTGAGTTTCAAGAGGGTGAGAACCATGTCTGTTTGTTTTGTTTTGTTTTCATTATCACAACCCCTGTATCTTGCACAGAACTTGGCCCATAATAGGCCAGTGTTTGGGAAGTGAATGGCTGAAGGAATGAGAGCATGAATGTGGCCTAGAAATGAATTCATGCTGGAGGTCTCTAGCCAATCAGCCGCATGATGCTGTTCAGGGCCAACCAACACTGTACTCAGAGCTCTAGGCATTATTAGGACACAGTTACTCACATGGACCCACACAAAGCCCTGGTGGAAGCCAAAGAGCTTCCTTCCCACCCTGAGTTTCCTCAATAAACATCTTTGACATTCTTACGCTGTTACAATGACAATGGAGTCCAGCCAGTTCCATGGATCTCGAAGAAAAGAAAACTCATCCAGAATAAAACCTCTTGCCAATATTTTTATCAAAGCTTCAAAAATATAAATCCCAGTGAAGACATACCTATAAAGCAAATCATTCAGAACAAGAAGGAACATGATAAGTGATATGAAAAGCAGGGAGCCCATCTGTCTTATCTGGCCTTTATGCAGTTTTATTCCATTTCAATGTGACATTTAACATTCTGATTTTCAGCAAACCAGAGTTCAGAGTGGTAGGTTCCTTAAGCAAGTTCTAGTAGTTAGAATTTCTGAGAAACAGGCCCACAGATAAAATTGTAAAGCTGCTCTTCAATGCCTACCTCTACAGCCATATTCTTGAGAGTTGTTTTAGCCAACATGGGACCTTAGGACTGGGGGCTGTCACTGCTGTTTTGTCACCACAATTCTAGAATTGTCACTTTGATATACAGAAGCAGATGATGGCAAAGGAACAAAGAGAATAAATGACAAGGCTAAAAACTGGATCTTTCCATATCCCATGTTCATGGATAAGAAGACATACTAGTAAGATGTTTGTACTACTCAAAGTCATCTACAGATTCAGTGCAATCCCTATTAAAATCCCAGTGACATTCTTTGCAGAAATAAAAACATCTATCCTGAAATTCATATGGAATTTCAAGGGACCCTGAATACCTAAAACAATCTTGAAAAAGAAAAAGTTGGAGGTCTTATACTTTCTTATATCAACACTTATCATAAAGCTAAAGTAATCAAAACAGTGTGGAGTTGGTATAAAGAAAGACATATAGACCACTGGACTAGAACAGAAAGCCCAGAAATAAGCCCTAACATGTATGGTTAAATGATTTTCAAAAAAGATGCCAAGACTATTCAGTGGAAAAAGGACAGTCTTTTCAACAAATGGTGCTGGGAAAGCTCAATATCCACATGCAAAGAAATGAAGCTGGACCCCTACCTTATACCATGTACAAAAATTAACTCAAAATGGATTAAATAGCTAAGTGCAAGAGCAGAAACTATACAACTTCTAGAAGAAAATATTTGCAAATCATGTAAATACCCAGAATATACAACTTAACAGCAACAACAAAAATTACACCGTATACAAAAATAAACTTAAAATGGATTAAAGACTTAAATGTAAGAACCAAAACCATAAAATTCCTAGATGAAAACTTAGGCAGTAAGCTCTTTGACATTGGTCTTAGCAGTATTTGTTTGGATCTGTCTCCCCAGACAAGGACAACAAAAGCAAAAATAAACAAATGGAACTACATCAAAGTGAAAAGCTTTTGCACAGCAAAGGAAACCATCAACAAAATGAAAAGGCAACCTACAAAACGGAGAAGATATTTGCAAATGCTATATCCCATAGCCCCCTATGGGATAATACCCAAAATATATAAAAAACTCAAACAACTCAATATCAAGCAAACAATCTTATTAAAAATGAGCAGAAGACCCAAATAGATATTTTTCCAGAGAAGATATACAGATGGCCAACAGGCACATGAAAAGACACTTAAGGTCACTAGTAATGAAGAAAATGCAAATCAAGACCACAGTGAGATATCACCTCACATTTATCACAATGAATATTATCAAAAAGACAAGAAGCAAATGTTGGCAAGGATGCAGAGAAAAGGGAACCCTTGTGCACTGTTAATGGGAATGTAAATTGCTTCAGCCACAATGGAAAACAGTATAAAGGTTCCTTTAAAAATTAAAATAGAAGTACTATATGACCCAGCAATTCCACTTCTGGGTATTTATCCAAAGAAAACAAAAGCACTAATTTGAAAAGACACACATACTGCTATGTTAATGCAGCATTATTTACAATAGCTAACATATGGAAGCAATCTAAGTGTCCATCAGTAGATAAATGGATAAGAAGATGTGGTATATATGCACAATGGAATATTACTCCACCATAAAAAAGAATGAAATCTTGCCATTCATGACAACAAAGATAGACCAGAGGGTGTTATGCTAAGTAAAGTTAGTCAGACAGAGAAAGACAAATACTGTATGATTTCACTTATATGTGGAATCTAAAAGGCAAAACAAAACAAAACAGATGCCTAGAAACAGAGAACAAACTGATGGTTGCCAGAGGGGAGGGGGATAGGAGATGGGGGATGGATGAAATAGGTGAAGGGGATTAAGAGGTGCAATCCTTCAGTTATAAAATAAATAAGACATGGGGATGTAATGTACAGCATAGGGAATAAAGTCAATAATATTGTAAGAATTTTGTATGGTAACTAGACTTAGCCTTAAAATTTAGGAAGAAAATCCTGACACATGCTACAACATAGATGAACCTTGAAGTCATTCTGCTAGGGGAAATGAACCAGTCACAAAAAGACAAATACTGTATGATTCCACTTAAATGAGGCACCTAGAGCAGTCAAATACATAGCAACCCAACGTAGAATGGTGGTTGCCAGGGATTGGAGGGGCATTAGTGTTCAATGGGCACAGAGTTTCAGTTTTGCAAAATGGAAAGAGTTCTGGAGATGGATGGTGGTAATTGGTTGCATAACTCTGTGAATATACTTAATACCACTTAAAAATGGTTAAGATGGTAAATTTTATGTAACCTATATTTTACCACAATTAAAAAGAAAAACCTATTTCCATTCTCTTCCTTGAGTCCTTCATCATGATCTATACTCTAATTTATTTCTCTTCTGCCCCTTCCTTCTTCAAAACCAAACAAAATAAGCAAATAAACAACAACAACAAAACCCCACGATATTCCATCTTTCTTGTTATAATCCCAAGCTGTCAAAAATGCTGGTTCTGTACACACACACACACACACACACACACACAGGTTCCCCTTTAGGGACAGAAACAATCAGTTCAAACAATCTAAAAAAGTTGTCATTTCACAGTAAAAGAAGTGGACCTTTTCTGGTAGAATATCCAGCCACTGTCAGCCCACATGCCTAAAAAACTAAGGTCTTGGGAACTTGAAAAATCCAAAGTAACCAAATCCAAGAGGAGAAATGGTTATGAGTTGCTCTCTGCTTCAGTCTTTTTGTTAAAGCTGATCACCTTTTAGGTGACAAATGGACACAGCAGATTAATTAATTCATGTCTGCCCTGAAACTCAGGTATAATTTACAAAGTTAAGGGTATTTTGGGAAAAGGCTGTAATTGCATATTTGTGGGATTTTGCAAGTCTCCATCTAGATCTCAGACAACTGAGGCAATAGCCTCTGACTGCCATTTCTGCCTGACCACCTGGTCTCCCACCTCCTACCCCCCTCATTCTCTCTTTTCCAGCATAAGCCTGGCCAAAAGAGGGACAGGTAGACCAACATGACATGTGATACGGAGTAGAGCCATGCCCACCACTGGGAACAGGGCTTGGGAGTTCCAAGACGGGGAAACCCAAACCCCCCAGGCAAATAAGGCCCTCTGGAGTGTGTCACTGTCAGTTCAAGCATGGTTAGGGTATCCAGTCAGGGCCATGGATGGTGTCCAGGTAGGTTAACAGAACACCATGACCTGATCCTAGGGCACTTTGGCATTCATTCTATGAAAACTAGCTTGGAATCAATTTCCCATTTAAAAGTTTTCTAACCAAAGGACACCGTCAAAACTAAATAAATTCTCCCCGCATGGGCCTAACAACTCAGCTACATGCCTTCTTTTATAAAACCATTTTCAAAAGCCTTCTCCCACCCCCACTTTCATGAATCCATTGCCAGTCTAAATGCCACCAGGGGACAGCAGCATCTTCCCTACAGCCTAGACAAGGGTCCTTCCATATCTCTGCCTTATGGATCTTTTAGTAATGAAAATGGCCTTTGAGCAGATTAGCATCCAATTGGGCTACTGCTTTCCATTAATAGAAAAAGAAAACTTATTGCATCTCACCAGAAGTGCTGGCTGGGCAGACCACTGCTATGGGAGCAATCCCCATTCCTGGATCTGCCTCCTCCACAGATCTCACTTGGTTGACTACAAAGGCTTCCAGAATCACTGCAGTAAACAATGAGCAGCAGCCCCTGTACTATCACTTAGCTCCTCACATGGAATAGCCAACTCTCTAGAGGGGAGACCATTTTCCCCAGTGATATTGCCAGGATGGTTTCTATTCCCGGAGGTGTCCATGCCCCTTGTTCCAAGGCACAGCCCTGAACTCACTGGCCTTTAACCAGATCCCAAGTCCCACTTAGCAACAGAGAAGAAGCAATCACTGAAAAGTAATGCAAAGAAAGAAAGCTAAAACAAAAAACAAAAAACACAGCAGGGAATTAAAATGGAATACTACACATACCTGATTAACAAAAAAGAAGGCAGGAATGAAAGAACAGCAGAAGAGCAAAGGAACAAAAAACAGATGAGATCAACAGAAAATGGATAGAAAAACAGACCTGAATTCAAGCATATTCATAATTATATTAAATGCAAATGAAATAAATATTCCATCAAAAGGCAGAGATTGAAAAATAGACCACATAATAAACAAGAACCAACCATGTGCTCTTTATAAAAGATACACTATTAATACAAAAGATACACTATTACTACAAAAACACTAAAATACAAAAATACAATACACTATTAATACAAAAAAGTGTTGAGAGTAAAAGGATGGAAAAAGATATGCCACACAAACAATGAGCCTAAGAAAGCTGGAGTAGCTATGGTAATCTCAGACAAAACAAATACTAAAAGGAATGATACTAGACATAAAGAAAGACATTTCATAATGATAAAAGAATGCATACATCAGGAAGATATAATAACCATAAATCTGTACGTGCCTAATAATAGTGCTGCAAAAATACATGAAGCAAAACTTGCCAAAAAGAAAGGGGTAATAGACAAATTCACAATCATAGATGGAGACTTCAAGCCTCTCCTCAGTAATTCATAGAAGTACTAACAGAAATGGTAAAAGGATAAAATCTAAATGACACTATCAACCATCTTAACCTAACTGACCATTTTCAGAATATCATACCAAACAACTGCAGAACCCACATTCTTCCAAGTGCATGTGAAACATTTCCCAGGGTAGAACCATAAAATAAGTTTCTCCTAATTTCAAAAGATTGAAATCTTACAGAGTATATTCTCTACAACTGAATTAAATTGGAAATCATTAACAAGACAACTAGAAAAATATAAAATATTTGGAAATAAAAAAACTACACTTCTGAATAACACATGGGACAAAGAAGAAATCACAAGAAGTAGGGAATGTGTTTAACCAAAAGGGAATAAAAACAATGTATCAATATCTGTGGGATGAAGCTTAAGCAGTGCATGGATGGAAATTTATAGCTTTATAAAATTGTACAAGAAAAGAAGAAAGATCTCAAACCTATTAAGTTTCTACCTTAAGAAGCTAGAAATAGAAGAGCAAATTAAACTCAAAGTAAATTGAAGGATGTTATTAATAAAGACTTTGAAACCTTCATATATTGTTGGCAGAAATATAAAATAGTGCAGCCGCTTTGGAAAATTTTGGCAGTTTCTTACAAAGTTACTCATATACTTATCATATAACACACAGCAATTCCACTTCTGGGTATTTATCCAAGGGAAACGCAAACATATATCCACAAAAAGACTTTTATACAGAAATGTTCATAGCAAGTTTGTTCATAATAACCAAAACCTAGAAACAACCCATATGTCCATCAACAGGTGAATGCGTAAAGAAATTGTGGTATACCCATACAAAGGAATACAACTCAACAACAAAGAGGGGAAAAGCTAGTGATATAAACAAGAGCATGGTTGCATCTCAAAACATGCTAAGTGGAAGAAACCAGACATGAAAGTATGGTATCATACACACCATATGAGTCCATTATATGAAATTCTAGAAAAGGCAAGACTAGCCTAGGGTGACAGAAAGGAGATCAAGCCTTGCGTTGGGAGTTGGGGTGAGGGGATTTACATGCCAAGAGGCATGAGGAAACTTTTAGGGTGTCTGGAATGTTCTGTAATGTTGATTGTGGTAGTTTCTATCACATAGTTAAATATATGATCAAAATAAGAGATCTCTTATTATTCTGTCAATTTATTATTTAATATATTCCTAAAAGACTAAAGCAGTAAATATGCTAAGTTAGAAAAACTAAAACAATATATAAGAGAATATTTATCAAAATACAGAACTTTCTAGGTTGAAAAATTAACTTGTATGTCTGAATAGCCAACTAAAAATTACAAAAAGTTAATATTTTAATTATACAAAGAACTCACTCAAACTCACTAGGATAAAAGCAAAAATGATACATGGGCAAAGATGGAAATACACAATTCACAAACTAAAACAAAAAAGTCCAATCCATCCAGAAATTAAGGAAATGTAAATATTTTCAACTCTATAAATTAATAACTTTTCCAAACATTTTGGGAAATATTTTGTCACCATATATTTTTCAAGCATTGAAATGTACCTTCCAATCTAGCAAACCCATTTCTAAGACTCTATCCTAAGAAAATAGTAATTTTTAAAAAGTAGCTATATGCGAAAATGTTGCTTGTTGCAATATTTATAGTAGTAAAATACTAGAATAGTTAAGTAAATTATTGTTTATTCACCTGATAGAATATTATATAACCATAAAAGTAGATTCCTATAAAGACTATGTAAACACAAAGAAAACCACTTAAAAGCTAAACACAAAATTTGTATGTGTGCTGTTTATTATTTTAAAAGGTCTTTTAAAAACAATTATAAAAAATATGCCAGCATTTGTGTTGGGGAATTGGGATAATGGGTGAGTCTGTCTTTCTCTATATATCGGAACTGTGATGGAATCATAAGTCTTTTAGGTGTTTTTGTTTAAAACCTTAGGATGGACATGTGCAGGACACACTTACTCAGCATTGTCGGTATCTATATTGCTGTTTTCTTTCCCGTAGGCAGTGGCCATGAACACACAGTTGATGATGACGGTGCAGATGATGAACATGCTGAACACTGTGACCGCTGTCCGTTAAGGCAGGTACACTACAGGGTGGCACATATCATCAGTCATAGTGAAGGCTGTGGGCATACCTCCAGGTCTCCTTTTCTGCAGGTGCACCTGTCTGCTTACCATGAGCGTTGGCGAAGAACAACTCATAGCTGTCCCCTCCTCTGAAGAACTGTCCTCAGCCGAATGGCAGCCTCCTCACCTGGAGGGCTACAACCCCCTTCCTCATGCCTGACTGCCTGAGACTTAGAAAAAGCTGGCCCCTTGCTTCCAGCGGGGCAGCTCTGTGACATAATTAGTGCCCCAGAGCTCCCGGTGGGCTCAAGGTGATGTGGGATCAGCTGAGACCCCGTTCTTACTAGCCTGCTCTTTCTGCTCCATCCTGCTTCCCTCTTTCCTTCTCCAGAGAGCACTCCTCAACTAAATCACTTAAATAAGAATCCCCATCTCAGGTTCTGCCTCTAGGGATTACAACCTGAATGGTTATTCTTTCCCATGCCCCCAGTACTTCATTATGTCTACCAGTCTATATGTCCTTCTCACCTCTCCCAGTCTAAAGCTGCCTGGTGTCACCACTCCCTGCTGCACACATCAGGAATGCTGCCTGTCTTTACTCTTTAAGACTGAGGTTGGGGGCGCCTGGGTGGCTCAGATGGTTAAGCGCCCACTTCGGCTCAGGTCATGATCCCAGGGTCCTGGGATCGAGTCCCGCATTGGGCTCCCTGCTCCTTGGGAGCCTGCTTCTCCCTCTGCTTCTCTCTCTCTCTCTCTCTCTCCCCCTCTGTTGCTCATGAATAAATAAATAAAATCTTAAAAAAAAAAAAAGACTGAGGTTGGAAACTCAAAGTCTTAAGTGTTTGGGGAGTCATTTAAATGGGTAAAATGGGCAGATGCTGGGTCACAGAGAGGGGTGGAGATGTGGTGAAGCAGAGCTTGCAGAGCCCCTCTGAAAGAGGCAGTGGTTCCTCACTACACCGGGTTTTGCCAGGTAGGAATGCAGGCCTAGACTTTATAGAGGTTCCATCTTCAAAAGATGTAGGAAATCTGGACTTTTAACATTATGGGGTGTTTCCATAAAGTTTTAAACACTGTGTAGGTCCAACACAACACATTTAGCAGCTAAATAAAGAGCCCAAGTTGACAGTTTGCAACTTTGTTTGGGTCTCAACTTAGATGATCCTTTCTCCAGGAAGTCATCCTGGATGCCTCCAAAGCACAACTACCACTCCCAAACGGCCCACCTCACTAACGAAATCGCCTGCCTTTTGGGCCTGTCTCCTTCTGGGGCCACAGGATCCTAGAGCAGGGCTAAGTCTTGTTCACACACAGCACCAGCACAGCCCCCGCCATGCAGCAGTAGGCACTCAGCCAGTATTTGATCCAAGAATGAGCTACTTCCACTCAACCAGCATGTGAACATCTGGGGCTCTTGCACTTTTCACATGACCTGGACTTAGTAAAAGATGCAATGAAAAGATATGAATGGACCGAGATTTTGATGGCTAAACTTCGGATTGGATTGAAAGGCCCAAAAATGAACAAGGCACGCTTGGCACTGAAGCGGTAGATTGTTCTCTTTTTGTTCAACACCATAAATGTCTGCAAAAACAAACAAACACAACAAGAATTACGTGTAGTGACAAAACAATATTTCTCATGAGTTCATTTAGAGAAAATTCAGTGGAACCACAGATTGAGGTGTGGCTTGTTTTATTATGATCATGCCAGTTTCTAATTGAAGTGCTGTCATTCTGAAGTCTGAGATACTTTCTGACCAGCCTACACTGTGACTCTGGACACCAAGAGATCTACCATGTGGCCTAGGTCTCACTCAGAATCCCAAGATAAGTACTGGGCTGTGGACTGTTTACCCAATGTAATACTCTGGAAGCTCCAGAAATGGAGCATATAGATAGACCCTGCAGATAAACAAGGGTGGAGACTAGTAACCGGGGCAAGCAAAACCCTTCATATTGTACTCCGTGGTATATATCTATGGAGATAAGAACTAGAAGGGAACTTGGAGAGATGGAAGTAGTACTGAACATTCACATTCAGCAGATTATTTTAAATTATTTTGATTACAAATGAAAACTTCAAAACAAATCTTAGAATAGTCAGGGACCTAGAGAGTCCATATTGTTGTACCTGAGCAGTTCTACATGAGATAGTCTATCAATCAATTCTAACCTTGAGGATCATTAACAAAAAAGTCATCAAGTTTCCCAGACTTGTTCTCCCGTTCTCCCCACAGACAGTCAGGCAAATCTGCCTGTGGTTCCCAACTGGTAGGAGAGGCCCTACAGAAGGCATCTGGAAATGCATGTGGGTGTTTTTGATTGTCTGTCACAATTACTGGAGGCCCTACTGGCCTTTATTGGGTAGTTCTAGGGATCCCAAACCCGGGACAGAACTGCTAAATGGTATCCTGTCCCATCCAAAATGTCCACTGGGCTCCACTGAAGAATACCATACCTGCACCCATTTCTTCCTAGTAGGTCTTCCTGGGCTTTGGGAATGAAGCAGTCCCTGGACAACAACCCATCACTCACACGCTTCTAACATCAACTCCCAGACCTCCTTTTTTCCAGTTAGCCATAATCTGGCTGTCCCCTTATATGTCCCTAAGGTTTTAGTTACAAAAGCCTTCACAGAATGAGGGTCATTCCTGTTTCCCCATGTCTCTGCTCCTTTAAGATTTACAAAAGTACTACTTGACATGTAATCCAGTATGTTCTTATACAGAAAAGACAGGCCTTATCACCCAGGCCCAATATAGCAGGGTGGATGCTGCCTTGGCTGAGGTACCAGAACTTCAGTCACTGCCAACCATCAACCATCCTTTGTTGAGTTGCTGGAACTTACTTGTCTGCTGGCCATCTGGCCACAGGAAAAAATGGAGTAGGATATTTTCTGTTGCCTCTATAACAAAAGGAAATGGGCCACAGAGTTATTTGAAAGCTATGAACTCAGGAGCCCAAGACCCACTTTAGGGATTCTGGGCCATTCCTTTGGATAGAAAGACAATTTTAGGACAGAGAGCAAACCTCTCCTTGAGGTGGGTCACCCAGATTAAGAGGTGGCATGATATGGCTCTGCCTCTGTGTCCCTTGATATTTTATCAATGCTATCTCTGACTGCTTTAAATATTTCAACTAATGGTGTATTTAACTATACTCACCAGGGTTTTAATTATTAAAATGATAGGTACCAGCTCCTTCTATCTGTTTGCTGAAACCACCCCTTTCTCTGTAGCTCTTCAAAGTGGAAATTTCTAAAGATAGGAAGTAGCCTTAAACTACAGAAAGAGCCCTTGGGTTTGAGTCACAACTCCATTCCTTACTGGTTGTTTGGCCTGGCCCAATCCACTTCCCCATCTAGTCGCTGGATTCCTCATCTGCAAGGTGGAGTGGTAACTACTACATATATCTCACATGACTACTGAGATTACCAGCCACATGGGGTCATGGGTGTGCAGAACTCTAAAAAAGTATCATGTCTTCTGATTTAAAGGGAGAGCCCAAGCTGAGAAGAGATGATTCTAGAACAGAACCTATCCTCCCAGGACTGTCTGCAGCACACCAAGGTGCTGCCTGCTCCAGCCTTAAGGCAGAAGACCTCCAGCAGTTAACTCACATTTAACAACTCTGCCTCCAAGAAGGCCTTGGAATTCTGGGGCATAAGAAGGAGAAATACTGGACTGTTTTTGTTCCCTCATCTCTCACCCCTTTCTTGTTTTTCCCACTCACACCCCACTTTCCTTTATACACACAGTTCCCAATTGGCCTGGTAACCCTAGGTCTGTCCCAATACAAGGACATACCAGGCAACATTTCTCTGGAGAGATCAATTTCTTATGGTTGCCAGCAGAAAATGGTCTCAGCAGCTCATATTTCTACCCAAATCTCCTTCCTCTCTGAACTCAGTCTGGTGAGTTTCCATTCTCTGCTGGATCATATAGTGAGATGATGATGATAAGGTCTTCTGAGCTTTTCCTGAAAGGGGAGTACTGTCCTCACTGCCCCAGGCTTTCAAAAAGCCATCAGAAGAGCCCAGAGCTCACATTTTCTCACTCAGGAGCCCCTTTAAGGAACTTTTACTAGAATTTCCCTACAAGAACTACATTCAAGTAGGTTAAACAGTGATAGCAAAGGAGAAGGACAGACATCCCTGCAAACTCCAAGATCAGCGTTTGGAGATTCTTATAATAGCCATTATAACTGCATGGTTAGAACACCCCAGACCTCATTCAACTACCTTATGATTTCTGTAGAATGGATCCAAGTCTTCCAGGGGCCTTGCTATCAGCTCATGGGGAATGTCACCATAGAGTTTGGGCAACTTCCTGGAGACCTTTAGGTCAAGCTGAGGTCGAGGCTGGGGTTCTGCTGCTGTCTGGTCTTTGCACTTCTTTTTCTCCTTTTGGATGGCAATCCTCTTCTCAATTGTAGCCAGAGTGTCAGAAGTGAAGGGACGGAAATTCCGCTCATCTGGAAAGATCACTGGGTAGCACCTGTCATCCATTTTCATCCTCGAGACAGAGATAAGCAGTAGATCCTCAGAGAGCTCTGAAAGGTAGAAATCACACAGCCTGCCCTGGAATTCCACTTTCCAAGGATGATGTCATGGGGGGCTATAAGAATTAAGTGAAGTGAGGGGGCTTGGAAGCTCATTGGCTGTGGAGCAGGTCAGAAGAGGTGACCACCACTGTAAATACAGCAGGAATTTGGGGCACAGGGAAAACCAAAGGAGGCCATCATTCTTGGAGGACCTGGGTGTAAATGGTAAGTTAAGTTCAGGAAAAATGGGCAGAAGAAGCTCAGTCTCTAAAACTGAGACCCAAGCATTGAGCAAGGCAGTAAGACTGAACCCACCGAACTACTGAAGTGGGGCCTGCAGATGGTGGCCCAGTGGCTGCAGTGTGAACAGGAGCAGAAAGAATAGGGTATTAATTGGGACATAGCTACGGGTTGCAAAATCAAAACTATAAGTGCATGCGTCTTCTCACTGTTTGGTCAGCAAAGTTCTTGAAATGTGATGGAATGGAAACAAAAAGGCTATACACACAGGCACAAACATTTACACTAATACCTATGATTCTATGCCAACTTTCTTACTTCTGAGACCCTGATCTGGCAGAAATGAGACCCCAAGAAAGCAGAAAGGATTTGCCAAAGCTAACAGGGTCATTCTGCCATGGGATAATAGCTGTACTGGCCCCTATCCCTGACAGCCCTTTCTACAGGGACTTCCTCTACAACCTCAAGTTTAAAAATAGGCTCTGAGAAAATGTAGTAGTGCTCAGGTTAAATGCTTTTACTCCCCATGCCAAGCATCCTCTTCCTTTCTTATATACCTGAATGCCAATCTAATATTGATTCCCAAGGCACTCCAGAGAATTACAATGGGTAATCCAACATAGCACTGGTTTGTCCATTCAGCAACCCATGTGCTCAGTGTCTGTTCTAGGAACGCTGCTAGGCACTAACGGAGAAGAAACAACAACCCCTCCTCCTGGTCCTACAAATTATGCTGCCCTGGTGTTGTAGTGGTGAAGACAGATAAAAGACAGGAAATTACAACACAGTAAGACAGATGCTAATATAGGAAGAAGTAGAGGGTGCTATGTCTGTGCATGGGATAGGTGTTTAACCAGTCTTGGGGAATCAGGGATGATCTGCCAAACCTTTAATGTCCCAGTTGAGACCTGAAGGGGATGTAAGACATAGACAAGAAAAAAGGAGGACATTAGAATGTGGTAGGAGAAACAAACAGCATGTACAGGGACCCATGGGTGAAAAAGAACATGGTGTCTGTCAGCAGGTTCTGTCTGCCACGGATGGAGATTTTGTGGGATGGATGGCCAGATAAGGCCCCAGTCAGCATTGAGAGAGCATGTGGGGCCCTATAATCCTTAGTAAATATCATGGATTTCACCCTGAGGGTAATGGGGAGTTGCTAAAGAGTTGGTTGTTGTTGCTGTTGTTGTTACAGAGGAGTTAACACTATCAGGTTTTTAAAAAATATCCCTCTTACTGATGAGAATGGATAGGACTTGGGACGAGGGGCTGAAGGAGGTGAGGAGCTGGAACTGCAGAGATTGTTGTAACAATCATAACCACTAAGGATGACCTAATGGAGTGGGTAGATCTGATAGTCACTTAAGAAATAGCCTTGACCAGTGATTTATGGGGAGGGAGAGATTTGAGGGACAGGAAGGAGATGTGGTTCCTGGCTTGGGCAGCTGGGTCAACACAGTGCTGCTCACTCAGACAGAGAGCACTAGGGAAGGAAGAAGTTTTGGGGGAATAAACTGAATTTAGAACAGATGGAATTGAAGCTGTTTGTGGAACCTGCAAGTGAAGAGAACCAAGAGGCATCATAGAGCAATCATAGTTTACACATTAGCCTCTGAAAAAAGCATATAAAAAAAAAACAACAACATAAACTTCTCTTGAAAATCCCTCAGGAAGGCACCATACTGACGAGGCACCCCAACTCAGTGGTCAACAAGGTCAATATGGCCAATTTTTCTTCTGGTGCTAGAACCGGTCACCCTTTCTTCAGTTAATCCACAAATTGGTCAGATTGTGTTTAAGGGCCATGATAAAGGCAACGTATGTGTCTTTAAACATACTATGGGTAATGGGATGCCCATAGTGTGAGTCATATGTCAGCTGAAATGACATAGAGATTCTAGATTCACTGCATTCTGTTCCATTCATTCAGGGTCAAGCTCTTTATGAATGTGCTGGATGATGGAATTGGCCACACTACTTAAATTATTCTCTCTCTCTTCCCACCCCTCCACTCCTCCTCCCTTCCATTCCACTCCCCTCTCTCTCATAGACATATATGATTGAATTGGTCTTAATGAAGTGGAAATATAATGAGACTCTACTGTATTTGGTGCTAGAGCTCATGAAAGACATTTGAGACAGGGATCGAGTCCTCTGCAGTCAACAGTATATGAATGTTAGGTGATCCTAGAAAATAGATGAGCCGAGAAAGATCCTGGATGACAAAAACCAGACCTTATGCTAAGTTATAGCAAGGAATCCAGTGCAGGGCTGCTATCATAATAAGGAGACTATTAAAGAAGAAACGGGACACTCTGCCCCTGTTGTTCTGACCCTGGAGATATTTTGCTCAGTTTCTAGTAGAAAAGAGGCTTGATGGAAATAAGTAACACAAAATAAAATTGAGAACTCCAGAAACTGTGCACATTAAAATTTGTTATAAATGCTGAAATAACTAAAGAACCACGTGTTAAAGTTGACATTGAAAACTACAAAAATTGACCCGGGAATAAGAGGACTTTATAAAAATATCAACTCAAATAAATCTGACAAAATAAAATCACATGCAGTAAAATTTTCTTAATAACTGAAAAAATTGATGAAAGAATCAAATATTTTTAATAAAAGCAGACTCAGGATAACTGGACTATAGAGATACACGCTGTGCATGCAAAATTAATTAAATTAATAAAAATCAATATGGTATAATTGGTAAAAATTTGGAATGATTCAAATCTTCATTGTGAAATTTATACCTCAAATATTTAATTCTGAAAAATTTTTCTGCCCAGAAAATGGATTCCATTGCATGGAAAATTGGTTGAAGAATTAAATTGGCTAACATACAATTCTTTCCCAAGCTTCACTAATAATCAAGTATGATGGCAAATTTTTCAGACACTGAATGACTTTTTACAAAAAAATTATTTGAGTATATGCTCCCAAACAATGAAAAGAGAAGCCAAAAAATGGTGGATGCTTGAAATCCAAAACATGGTACACCTAACCCAAGAGTGCAATAAAAAAATTCCACGTAACTGCACTACAATCAGCTTAAAAAAGCAATTGATTCAACTAGAATTAGAAGTCAGAGAGCCCTGAGAAAAACCCTTTAAGAATAGAGTAAATTCTCTGTAACAAAGAATATGATTAAGCAACTGGTTTCTTTATAAGTAAAAAAGAAAGGCAATTAGAAGTTCCATCAAAACAATAGCTCCTTGAAAAGTCAGGTTTTACATATGAAGCCAACTAAATGGCTTGAGCAGCTGATAGAGGAGGAAAAAAAGAAAGTCCACTTGACCTTGACACTTAGGACATTCTTTTTCATGCAGCAGAAGGTCAGTGACATCACAGTCCATTCCCTTCTCTATGGGTCCAAATATGGTACTTGGTTTCAGACACTAGAAGCTACAAAATCATTGTATCATAAGTTATATACCAGTTTTTAATTTTAACAATCATCCTATAGATAAAGCAGAATTAATTACAATTACAGAATAGAATTCAAATTATATAAATGTTATAAAATGTTATTGCAAGCTAGAGTTGGAAAGCAAAGACAAAGGGAGACTCAGAGCCACCAATTTCCTCATCTTAAACACCTAGAGAATCAAGACATTCTATGGAAGGTCAATGGATTAAGCAATCAAGTATAAGTCTAACCCTTAAAATTATGCAGGTACTCAAGGGCAAGACAAAATGAAAAATATACTAAGTAGCAGAAACTGGAGGAAACACGGGGACAGCAGAAGGATTACTGTCAGTACACTAATTTCCTCATCTTGCATAGAGGCAATTCGATAACTGCTACTTAACCTTGATGAATCAAAAAAATAGAAGAATAAGAGAATCAATTACAGTTAGCCAGACAATGACCGGAACACTGAAACACTGAAAGGGTTACAAGTGGAACTGAGGATACAGGCGAAGGTGCGGACATTTTATTTTCTGTGTGATACCCTTCCCAGAATTTCTTCCTTCTGAGTTGTTTGGATTATGTGCATGTAAGTGTTACTTTTATAGATTTGCAAAAGGACTGTAAAAATCCTTCCAGGGCTCCAAACATCCTCAGATTTAACACCGAGAGTCAAAATATCGGGTACAATGACGGGCTCTAAATCTCCTTGAGTCATAAAGGAAGGAGGCATAATCTCAACTTGCTGTCCAAACCAGGAGGCCAGCGACATGTGAATTATGATTTCACACAGGAAACCACAGAGACTGGGAGGCCCATGTGGAGGCCCTGCCAGGCCTCCCTGAGGTGATGCACTAGACTTGCAGGGGAGGTGGGGAATTGTCCATCAGAGAGGGCTCTGCTCCTCCTCCTCTGAGGACTGGCCCTCAGCAGGCTCACAGGCCCACTCCTGCTGAATAGACAGAAGACAAGCACTCATCCAGGAAAGAGGGCTGAGGCTTCACATCCTTAAGCAGAGACCCTAAATTCCTTGAGAATTCACTTGCAGTTAAGATTAGGTAGCTCCAGGCTTTATTTGCAATCTACAAGCCTTATAGAGGCATTAGATCTGAACTCCAATTGCTCACTCATTCATGCACTGGGCGCTGGAAGTGCAAAATGATTTAAAACACCGTCCCAGCCCTTGAGGTTCTTAAAAAGATGTCGGGAATTAGGTGAGTCAAGGATGGAGGATGAAACCACACAGTGAGGGTGGCTGCACTAGGGGGGACCTTTAGGTGCTGTGGGAGCCCAGAGGACACAGTGGTAAT